GAAGTGAAGCGCTGCTTAGCAAGTGCGTGTCCCATCGATGCAAATAAATAATAATCGGACGGAGCCAAATCTGGTGAGTAAGCCGCATGCGAAAGTATTTCCCAACTAAACGCCTCAATCGTTTCCTTGACTAGTTTTGCTGTGTGTGATGGTGCATTATCATGAAGCAAAATCACTTTGTGTTGCCTTTTTTTATATTCTGATCGTTTTTCACGCAAAGCTTGATTCAAATCAATCATTTGTTGTTGGTAGCGTTCAGTATTAACGGTTTGACCAGGTTTTAGCAGCTCATAATAGATCACACTCTTCTGATCCCACCAAATACAGAGCATTGTCTTCCGTCCATAACGATTTGGCCTTGCAATCGATGTCGATGGTTCGCCTGGAGTTATCCATGATCTTTTACGCTTAGGATTCTCAAAATATATTCACTTTTCATCGCCAGTCACAATTCGATGGAGAAATGACTTTCTTTTATACCTGGTGAGCAGCATTTCGCAAGTAGTTTTTCGGTTTTCCTGCTGTCTTTCATTCAGTTCATGTGGAACCCATTTTCCCATCTTCTGGATCTTTCCCATGGCTTTCAAACGTATGAAGACGGCTTCCCGTGTCACATTTAATTGACCCGCGAGTTGTTGTTGCGTTTGAGTGTCATCCTCATCCAACAATGCTTGCAATTCGCTGTCTTCAAACTTTTTCGGTGGTCTTCCACGTTCTTCGTTTCTCACGTCAAAATCGCCACTTTTGAATTTTTTAAACCACTCAAAGCACTGTGATTTACCAAGAATATGCTCACCGTAAGCTTCGACAAACATTCGATGCGATTCTGCAGCAGTTTTCTTCAAATGGTAACAGAAAATCAATGCTGTCCGCAAATCGTAGTTTCCAGGTACAAAATTCGACATGTTCAACGCTATTACAAACTATACTGTTGTATGAAACTTGTATTGTTGTGAGTTGAAAATCTTTGTCAGAGATGTCAACAAGGAAATGGCGCCAATGACGCGGTTTGACGGTAACTACATTGACAGCTAGGGCCATCTATGGGCAAATTCCGGTTTCATATTTACAGACCTGGTATTATATAATATTTTGGCAATTTTTCTAACGGGGCTTTTGCTTAGAAATACTCAATAAGCTCAAGATATGTTTTTTTAATCTGCCTTATAAAGCTTGTGTCATTATATTTCGCGCATTGTTTCGTTTTGTTAATGTTTTAATCTTTTTTAATTAATATTTCAAAAATTATCATGATTGTTTGTAAAATGATACAGGACTTTCTTGTTTATTTTTATTAACTTTACCTTCGCACAGCTAAGCTAAGCTTAATACGCTTAGTACGTTTACACTTAGTACGCTGTATATCATAACATAATAACTCTTTTAGGATGACGCGCAAAAGAGTCGGTCGAGCACGGGAAGACGCGTACAATGCATGTTTGTGCACAGGTTACAAAGCATATTGCAGCAAATCTACTTGTTACTCTAAGATATCAAATTATATAGTTAACGTTTATATACGATAAAAAGCCTTCAATAAATCTAAAATAATAATACATGTTCGGTACTTAAATTAGATTATTGTAACATTTTTTGTAGTAGTACGGCCATGAATGTTGCACATACTCAAATGCATACATGTATTGTATGATAGCTATCCTAAAAAGGTTAAAAAGCCGCAAATGAAAAATTCTATTTTCCAGTTTAACTTCGTGGTTGTGAACGAATGTATAAATATGTTAAAAAAGAGTATTATGTAGGTAATAAGATTATGGGCAGTGCCTGTATTAATAGTTAATACATTAAAGGAGGTGCGACTATATCGTGACTTTAATCGATTCTATTTTTTTTAATGTGAAAATCATATAGAGTATAACGTGTTTTTTATGTGATCGGAAGAAAGTGTGTCATGCTAAGTACACGGGAGTATCACGAGTTTCTGTCATATCGAGAAGAATTTCGCTTTCACTAATTTACACACTATGTAACTCTCTACGAAATAAAAACGAAATCTGTTATTGTAATTGTATTGAAAATTGTTATTATAAGAATCGAAGTAGAATTTTGCAAAAATAATTGAAATGTTCAATAATACATCAAAATATACAACTGATCTTGATGAATAAATAATATATTGAAAATCGTCTTTAAACAATTTATTTTACTCGTTAGACTTTGTTTTAGTTAGAAGAAAATCAATTATTTTTATAATGATAGAATAACAAGTGATAACAGATATTACATAATCACGAAATCTTCTTATTATTATTGTGTAATATTCACAATTTACATGATAAATAATGCTGTATTATAAATTTACACTATATAAAATATTATAAATTTATACTATTGACATATTTTCATCGCTTCTTTCTTTATCGTATTGTAGAAAATATAGCAAATATAACATTGACGCAATAAACTATCGTAGTTTTAGATTCTTCTTCTGTTTGTTAGATATTTATTTGTATATCTCTTGACCCTTAGCTGGCACTCTGAGGTATCAAAAACTCCAATTTAATTCAGCTCCAATTTACTCCCCCTATAGTACGAAAATGATGCTTGTGCCATCATTTATTGTTTGTCTAAGGAACCCTCTTTTTCCTGGATTACCTGGCGTAATTCTAAAAGCGTCAGTCTAGCTGTGGAACGGTATTCAAGTGAAACGGAGTGGTGCCATTAGAGACCCCAGTATGCCAGCTATAATTATTCGAAGAATTTTTTCCCATTGGTGTTTGTCATCAGGGCGTAGAAAAAGGTAAGTACATAATGTTGTACGGTATTTAATTTTTTTTTTCAAGAGTATCATTATTTCGGTTTTATTAAATGGCGTATCAGTTAACGAAGCGTTGGGCGGCTTCGGCCCATACGCCTGCAGCTACTCGAAGAAGATAATGAGGATAATTTTTGTACATTAATCAAGTAAAATTCACTCATATCTAATAAATAAACAAGTATACTTTGAAAAAATAAGTAGTACATTTTTGACTGAAATTCGTCTTTTCAACTCTCCAAATAAATACCTTTTTTGAAATGGCCACTATCAACTATTTTTTTTTCCTTAAAGTGTTATATCTCTAGAGTGTCAAGTAAAATTTTTAGCTCTTAAAAATAAAAAATGATAGTTATGTATTTTTTATGAAAATAGTCATTTTTTCGTTTTTTTTTTACGTTCTCGAATTTTTTTCATACTCAATATTAAATTTTATCAAAATAACCTATGATATCTTTTAAGTCGATATTTGAAAACTATTTTGAAATTTTTGGTAATTATGCAGTATAACGGACCCACCTCCGATGACCTTGACTTTGACATATATTGTAGAGGTCACCCACTTGAGTGACCTTCTGAAGGTTTTAGCCGTCGCTCGTTGTTCGTTAAAAAGTTATTAACAAAAGAAGTTGCATAAAATAAATGTAATTTTTGGACACCGTATATATAAAAACATCGAATTTGTATGCTAGGAAGGTGCCTGCTACACACACACACACTGCTCGCCTGCAAGCGCGCTCGCCTGCCCGACAGGGCGGTCTCGCGGTGGATGTATAGTATATGTTCCTATTATATGTACACGCACCGGCGTTAATGCCGTCCGAATATCCGTGTGACTCGCACACGATAACACGTCACTCATACACTGCTGCGTGTAGGTGAGCCATGAGCAGCACGGAGCGGCGGAGGGAGCTAGCGGTATACGATCGTCGGACGCTTGGAGAGGGAATAGTGGTGGGAGTCGCGGCGATCTTCCATCCTCTATCGCAAACGTAAGAACGAGAGAAATAGCATTATAAGACGTCTGGACAGAAATGCCGTCCTAAAATACGTGTGACACACACTAAGAAAACGCTTGACTCACACTGTCTCGTCTATACGTGAGCAATACGCGGTGTCCCGACGACTGTTTCGCTCGCTCGAACGTTCATGCATTTTTCATTGTTAGCAAGGAAATTACTGTAATGTAAAAATCTTGGGGA